TCTTTTTCTCCCCTTTCAGCAACTAATGTAATACAATTAATATATCATAGGCTCAACTGAATAAGTCATTATTAACATTTAAACAATTTTTTTTTGTCTTAATATAATGATAAATACCTAATTATATATAAATGTCATTTAAGTAAATTATTATTTAAATAATTGATAATTATATATTAGTATATAAAATAATTTATATTAAGAAATATTTATTTAATTTATTTAAAAAATTTTTAAATGTTATGTATTTGAATGTTAACAATGACGGATTTATGATAGAGCTTATAATATATATATACGATTTTATAAAAAGTAAATTAAAATATTAGTGTGAATTGTACCTTTCATATGATATCATAGAGCTTTATAATGAAATAGGATGATTTAATTTTTAATTACTGTTATTTAAAATATAATTAAGCATGTAAATCATTAACAAAGTTAATTGTATTATTTTAGTTACTGAACAGGAGGACAAAGATTTCCTGAAACATTCATGAATAAATAGAGGTCAAAGACTAGCTCTGATTATTCATTAAATTGACCTTAAGCCAAATAAGTGCGAATAGATATTATAGAATAAATGTCAAAATTGGATTATGAAAAATAAAAATTTATTTAAGGGTTATTTAATTTTATTTAAAATTTGTATAATACTTTAATTCAATATTTTTAGTATTATTTGAATTAGTTAAACTATTTGAAATTATATATATATATATATATATATATATATATATATATATATATATATATATATATATATATATATATATAAATAATAAATAAATACATATAAATAAGGTCAAATTAATTATTTATTATAAGCAAAAACTTCACACAAGATAAATCAGACATAAACATTGATAATAATTTTTAAAAAAATAAAAGATCTTAAATAATAACTTCAAAGTTGTTGCCAAGGTTGCCAGATTGGGGGATTCCCCTCTAGATTTTTTTTTTATTACAAAAGTTTTTAAGGTGTGTTTAGACAAACTATGAGAAATACTATTTCACAAACTATGAGAAACACTATTATCTAACTTTACTAACTATGACATTATTGCTAAACCAAACTATTTATTTTATTTCTCTTAATACAGATATCAGATGGAAAATATCAAAAACAAGAAACAAAAATATTAGCATAGAGAAATAACCATTTATATAATTCTTTGTTCCATGGTTTGTGAAATGTTTAAACGCACCTATAGAGTGAAAAACTTATTACAGTATTTTTTATTTCAATGATTTATTTTTTATCCACTGCTAAATGAATTAAAATGATCAGGAAAAATTAGTTTGAAAACAAACAATGAATTTTTAAAATTACTTTGTTAGGTCATTTATAATTACTTTATTTACCAAAGATGCATAGTAGTATCATATAATAAAAAAATGTCCTCATGGCCGCCATGCATTCTTTAGTGTAAAGTCACATTCCTACGTTCATTGGGACTCAATTAAAATATTTAATAAAGAAAGAATATGATTAAACCTGAATGGTTCTGGATTTAAAATTCTGATTTTAAAAGGACAGCTTTTGCTGTCCCCCTTTAAGCCATAGTGATAACTTAAGAAAAAATCTAATAATTACATAAATCACTTTTAAGTATATAAAAGAAGATTAAATAAAGATTTATTTTAACTTATCTTATTGTTATTTAAAAAAATTTTATTGTGGTACCCTGGTTCCTTTAGGCATTGGCTTCTTCCAGAAAATTTTGAACTAATAACTTAGAATCCCTTTTTTTATTATTAAAACTATGGAGATACTCCCTAATGATGGAACAAACCCCATTTTACAAATTATACAACTGTTCATTTAACTGTATTACTCATTACTCAAAATATATTACTATATTTTACATGTATTCTGTAATTCAGAGTGTATTACTTTTCATCAATGTAAAATAAACGGAAAGAAAACACAGTTTGGTCAAATTATTAATTTCTTTAAAAATCAATATTATACATTGTGCCTTATTGCCAATTTATATTATTATATAATTATAATTATTTTAATTGCCAGTTTGTAACCATGATAAGGGAGAAATAATTCTGGCAATAAGAAGTGTGGTGTCATCGACACGGTCTGTCCCACTTTGTATATGTAAAATAAAATATGACAGTCACTGAGGTATACAGAGCAATGCCCACAATGAATCTTCCTGCAAAGCCAGTGGGCCTGACATGAATGACCATAGAGGACAACATATCTTTTGTCCAAGTTGGAAGTGATCTACTGGAACAGGAGTTCCTCAAGGAGATGGATTGGCATGCCTGGTTTTCAATCTCACACTGGAAATAGCAGTTAGAGACTCTAGGACCCAGACAACTGGTACACTCATCGACTTTCAAGTGCAGCTTCTTGGATTTGCAGACGACACTGACATAGCTGGTAGGTCACTAGCAGCAGTCAAGGAAGCATTCTTAGCATTGAAAAATACTGCTGCAAGGATGGGACTGATTGTCAACTATAACAAAACAAAGTATTTGTGCGTAAACCCTCAATCGATGAACGTTGAGAACCATATCCAAGCTGATGTGCAGAGTGTGGAGAGAGTTAAGGAATTCGTGTAACTAGGGTCCCTAGTCAACCAACAAAATGATATTTGAGCAAAAGTTGAGAAGCAGATTACAGCAGCTAATCGGTGTTATTTTGCTCTGCAAAAGCATATGAGTGGTGGTCTCCTCTCCAAATCCTCGAAAGTCCGGCTGTACAAGACTCTCATCCTGCTGGTTCTCATATATGCTTCAGAAAACTAGATCCTTATTCAAGTACATGAATCTTCTGAGATTCGAAAGAAGAGTTCTGAGGATATATGGTCCCGTTATAGTTAATGGAGAGTGGGGACGTCGTTCCAACAATGAACTGAGGCTGCTTTATAAGGAATTGGATGTAGTTCAGTTTATAAAGCTAACGAGACTTAGGTGGGCCGGTCGACGATGGATCAGGCCAAGACTCGAGTTCAATGGTCGTAATGCCATTTAAGTAAGTAAGTAATCACTTAAAATTGTTAATATAATAGGGAGATTTATTTTCTGATTTATCTGTTTTAAGTAAGATTCTGATCGTTAATTTGACAGACGACTAACGTGGAACCCTCATACTAGACTTAAAAGACAGGAACTAAACCGACGATATGGCCAACTATACCGGCTACTAAACAGGAAATCTAAACTTTCCATTGAAAACAAGTTACTGATCTACAAGACAATATTGAAACCTATCTGGACTTACGGACTTGAACTGTGGGGAACAGCAAAGTTTTCTAACATCAAACGCATCCAATCCTTTCAATCCAAAGTCCTTCAAACAATAGTCGATGCTCCTTTCTATGTAACCAACAAAACCCTACACCATGACCTTAATATCCCATTTATCCTAGACCTTATCCCATCAAAATTCTCCAAATTCCATCAGAACCTTACCCATCATCCAAATCCCTTTGTACAATCTCTATCCAGCACCACCCATCCATATAATCCTCCAAGGAGGTTAAAACGGCAGTGGCCCCTTTTATAGTTTGTAAATATTGGAGTTCTGGCAATGGCCAGATTCTCCACTCACGACATGAATGTATGCGGCTTAAGCACTCTTACTCAATCTCTACTGGATTTAGCCCCAGTGACGCGGTTGAGAGAGAAGTGCTGGGATCTCCTGGAGCCATGCTTTTCCCTCCACACTTGGAGAGACAAGTCTGGTTTGGAGTTCCCTCCCCAAATTGTAAATATTGTATATAGGTATGTATGTGTTATTTTTATTTATTTATTTTTAGGTTATTTTATTCTTATTTATTGTATATATGTTATTTTTCTGTATAATTTATTTTATTTACTGTACATAGAGTGTGAATGTGATCTGTTAACACTATTATAAATGTCCTTGAGACAGATTGTAATATTTTTCAATAAAATAAAAAAATAAAAAAATTTGATCTGATCTTTCAACCAGTATAACACATTTAAGAAATATTAAATTAAGGAAACATTTAAAAAAAAAAAAATTACCTTCATCTTATTCTTAAGGGATAATTTTGGTTACAATGATAAAAAAAAATAAAACATACAAATTTAGGGTTCAAGTTAGCAGATTTTTAGGAATACATGACTGGCACAGCAAACCTGGTTTAAGCCTTTCACAAGGCTAGATTTACGGAAGGTAGACATTTAAAAAAAAAAACCTTTGTCCTGATTTAAACACATTATTAATTAAATATTTAAATTTAGTGACGTTTAGTAAGTAAAGGATATCTGACTATTGGTTATACATTGATATTGGCTATTTATTAGCTAATTATACTTTAGGTTTGCTAGCTATGTGTAAAGGAAATAAATATATAAATGATTATTTCACTATGTTAGTATTTTTGTTTCTTGTTTTTGACATGTCCCATCTGCTGTCAGTATCAAGAGAAATAAGATAAATAGTTTGGTTTACCTATAATGTTGATGCTAGTTAATTGGGTATTCCATACTTTGTATAATGTCTAAACGTATCTTTAATGAAATTAATAAAAAGCTCAAGTTAAATTTTCTAACTATTTTATTTTTTTACTCATTCTAATTTTTGGTTTCTCATCAGGTAAAAAAGGTGAGCAAATTTAGAAGTAGATTAAAAAAAAAAAGAAACATTTTCTCACCTAAGAAAAAATAAAATAAATATCTATTGGGGAATCCCCAATTTGGTAACCCTGTATTCAATTACTGCTTGGAAAGGAAAATTGAAAAATTATATCTGATTGCTCTTAGAACTCATAAATTATTTATTTATTAAATTTATTTACCTGAATTTAGGCAATACAGTTTTGTATTAAACACTTTATTATCATCTTTGATTTTATAAAAAATAACTGAAAATATTAGTGAATTGTGGACTTCACATGATATCTTAAGGCCTTATAATGAAATAGGATGGTTTTAATTTTTAATTACTGTTATTTAATAGATAATCAAAAGTGGAAATCATTAACAAAGTTAATAATTGTGTAATAACAAAATAATAATTGCATCAACCTTGCAATTCCTGCAATTGGAATTCCTTGAGCTGACTTGTGCGCCATCTATCGACGACTGTTGAAAACAAACGTACGTTAGTAACTGACTAAACATTGCTGCTGTCTGGATGTCGTAGTCTGGGGCTGAACTCAATTATGGCTACTCAAAATCCAGGTTCTTTTATTCATTTAAGTTAAAATTGTTTATTAATTTTGTTTTTTTCGAAACAAAAATTTATTTAAATCAATATTTCAGGAATGAAGATGCCCTCTCGTCCAGCCCCTAGGGTTCCTCCAAACCAAAAACTTAGCCAAAACATATCACAATCGTATGAAAGGTAAAAAAATTCTAAGAATTCAATAGTGAAATTATCATTATTAACACTTTAATTGCTTTTAACATGACTTGTCAACATTATCTATTAATTTTAAAGAAAGTCCCATTTAGTTATTATACTTAATTATTGTCTTTTCAGTCCTCCAGATCCTTTTAGTCCTCCTAAAATGAAATTGGATTCAAAGAAAAGGGCTCCTCCACGTCCTCCACCACCTCGCTTAAACACGAACCAAGTATGATATATTTCTTTATTTATTTAAAAGATCAAAACTATCGCATACATATGTTCTTCGTTATGTTATGTGTTATAGTTATCTTTAGATTAACATTGGCAAATTTCTCTCTCACAACCTTGAAAAACATTCTTTATCGTTTTATTTTAGGGTTCTAATCACTTTAGAAGTATATTTGGTTCGAGCAAAAGGAATCCGAAAAAGGGAGCTGCTACTGCGATAGTTAAGCCACTTCCTCCTAGTACGACGGCTGTCATCCCTACTGGCACACTTATAGATCTTCAAACTCCACCGAGTAGTCCGAAATCTCAAAAAATTTATAGTGAAAGTATTTGGAGTAGTGGAAACGTTAGCAAAAATAGGTATGTAACATTTATTTTCCGATATATGCATCTGATCTATACTAATTTCATAACTTTAATTCATTCTTTATAGTTTTAATTTAAAAAAATGTATTTAGAGTATTGCCATTGTCTTAGGTTAACCTGTACATTCTGTTAAATGATATTTCGATTAAATTGAATTGATTTTGTGACATCCATAAAAATTGAGTTCTTTTTTTTGGTAAATTATTGAATAAATCATGAAAGTTTGTCACTCATGACATTATTTTAAGCTGAGCATGCCTTATCATGTAATGAATAGTACCCTTTGTTTATTTGTTCTGGTTCTTATTGTCACTCTAATCCATGCTTCATTGATAATTAAGGATTTTACTATTATGAAGAGACTTGCATTTTTTTTTTTTTTTTTTTACTTTATTTTTATATAAATATGAAGGTTAAAAATTAAATTTTATATCATCTCGCAAGTTTACTTTAAATCTTACCATTTTTAAATTGAAGAATAACTTCTTAATAAATCTTATTCCATTAGTAATAAATTAATAAATCATAGTTAGTTAGCAATAAGTGAAATTAGTGTGACAGATTCAGTTGCTAAATATTCTTAGGAAACTTACAGTTTTACTTTCTTTATACAATGTTATCTTTAAAACTATCCTAAAATTCTTTTGTTTATTTTACATGTGTCAAATGTCTCACGTATATTGTTTACTCGTTTAAAAATATCCAGTCCATAACACTTGTGTCCTTCATCCTTATGTAATCATACAAAAATATATCGTTTTTTATGGTGTATGATTATGAAATAAATATTTTTTATCTTTCTGAAGTTTTTTTTTTTTTAGTTTGTAAATATTATTGAAATTCATAATTCATATACTAAAATAATCAAATGTAAATTTTTATAAACAGTTGAAGATGTATTTATTTTAGGTATTTTATATGTATGGTATGAAATTAATTCCATTGTTTTTTCTGTTTTCATTTTAACAATATCTCAAATACCAATTATATAATATTTATTATTTGTTTGTTGTTTTCTACTTTCATATAAAATTTTTAAAAGAAAAATCTATGATGTTTTAAATTGTGTCAGGATCAATTATTTTTATGTATTAGTTTTATTTTTATTTAATTTTGCTAACACATTTTTTTGTTTGTTTAGTTTATTGCCTTAATAGTCAACAACACTCATAAGATTCTTGATTGATCTGTTACCACTATGCATCATGATGTATTTGATCGAAAATTAGTTTGATATAGTGATGTAATAATGCCTTAACTGTTGTATGATATCCAGTTTCTAAAATAATTAAACTTCACCCTGTTTTATCTTTAATTTCTGAAATAAAAACAGGTTTAATTATGATTCCATTTAGATATAAATTAGTTTCAGGTTATGTAGACAGGTTATTTGTTTTATTTTTTTCTAATTATCTAAGTTGAATCGTAACAATCCAGTCATTGTCGCACCCTAATTTAACTTTTGAGAAACACTGAAAGCTGGTATGTCTTATTGTATGTTGGACACAGCCTATTGATGTTCAGATGTCATGATCTCATAACATCTAAAAAATAAGTTGGGAGTATTCTAAATTATTTACTTTTTGTATTTTTTGTTATTCCCTAACTTGCCATTTCTGGCATATGAGAAGGGGAGGAGATTGTTCCGGAGGCACAACCAAACCTATTTTAACTAGATTAGAAAGTTCAAGATCTATTCCATAGTTCTGCCACAAATTAAATTTCAACCCTCTTCTCCTCCCCTCCCCTGCTGGATTTCAACTGGCACTGCCAGAATCAAAACTGTTAAAGATGGCAATGCCTCAACACGGCTGGTAATTACTTTTTTTTTCTCCTACACCTGAATAACGCTTGAGTTGATCAGCTATGTGTAAACTTGCAGCCCAATATAGTTTTCTCTTATATCAAAGTGCTTGTCGGTTTAATTAGAAACACATCTTATGTCACGAAAGACAAGTTGGACTATTTGTTATGCTGATGTTGTGATGGTGCTTCTGCAGAAAGTCATGCCCGGTTGGCGACAGAATGCCTTACTGGGAGGTCTTCCACTTACTCCATCGCTTTCCTTCAATTTTTCGAGCATATTTAGTATACTTTTGAGGGTCCTTTTTACTGTAATATTAGCTGAATCTATGCCTAGAGGAAAATCTGATTGGTTCATCTCCGATCCTTTCCTAGCCAGTTTCTTAGTCTCGTCATTTCTGTGGAGTTCCTAACGGTCTGGTATCCACTGGAATGTGACTTCTGTCCCATTTTCTTTTAATTGATTCAAATAAAGATGATATTTTTGGGAATTTAAATTCATATTATATCTATTTTGGAGGAATATAATTGCCATCTGCGAGTCAACAATGAACTACTGTTTTTTTTTTTTTTTTTTTAATTACTTTTGTAGTCTATTTCTCTCTTGGGGATAGTTCCTCTTCTAGTACTGACCACATTTCATCTTTGTACTGCATTGTCGTTTTCAACTTACAGACCTCAAGTATGGATCAACAATCTTCAGTTATTTCATCCGCTCAATGTAATCTTTGTTCTTGCAGCATTTTCTTTTTGTGTCTATTCTTCAGGCATTCTAGTGACATGTCCGATTGCCTAGATTATATTTTCTCAAATTTCCAATTCTTGTTTTACCAAAATTTCACTATAATTAATCATTTTTTTGTAATCCTATTTCATTTATTTTTATTTTTGATTTTAATTCTGAAGGAATATAATCCTGCAGTTTCGACTCTGGTTCATTAATAATATAATTGATGTGGTAATTTTAAATTATGAATGTAATCGAATATTTGAATTACTATATATTTAATAGTTTATTACATTTTTTATTAAAAATATATCTAAATGAAATATAATTTGTTTCAGTTCGCCTTTTGAAAGTGGTTTCGAAGATGATTTTAGTTCTATTATATCATCAGCCACTACAACACCAACTACAGATATTTGGTCAGATCTTTCTCCTGACAAGTCAGAAACTTTTGAAGTTCCGGTTAAAGCCATACCTCCTCCATCTACATTCTCTAGTTCTAGACCCACAATTATTTGTTTTCCAAAGGTAATGTATAATAAAAATATAGGCAATTATTTTTTCTAATCCTTTGCATATTTCACAGATGCAGATTTATATTTATATATATATATATATATATATATATATATATATATATATATATATGGATTAATAAGATTAATTACATTTTCCTTTAGCCGAAACCGAGTAGACCTCCACCACCGCGGTTGGATGGTTCTCCACCAATGCCAAGTATGCCACCGCCTCCTCCGCCTCCTAACCTCCTTGAAGTCTTGGCAAAAGGTCCTGAGATACCTCCAAGACCACTGACACCATATGAGGTAAATATAGATAGATAGATAGATATTTTATTTGTTGTAAGGGGGTTCCCAATACAAATAGAGCCTAGCTTGGCTATTGTACAATAATATGGTTTTACAAATTTACATACATATAATTTAAATATAAATAAAATTTACAATATTTAACGTTTAGAATGGTTTTCACAAAACATGAATAACAATAAAAATTAAAAACATAAAACGATTACTGCATAATAGTAGTTATAAGAACCAGTTACTATGATAGAAACAATAAAAAATAAAAATATTTATAAACATTAACAAAATATTACTCTTAAGATAAAATAAAAACAAACGCTTAATAAAACATGACTATGAACAACAATTTTGTGTATGCACTTTGTGTACTCCCATCATATGATAGTAAACTTTAATTTATCTATACAATCGATATTCAGTATGGATTCGACGTTGCAGTTATCAGAAGATTCTGAGATAAAGTTTTGAAGGAATTTTTGTCTATAGTCATTGTATGCTGTGCAGTGAAGGAGAATGTGATGTAGACTATTGTAGATAAACTGACTGCATGATATACAGGTTTCTTGAGACTCAATCGAAAATGTTCTGTTTTGTGCATAGATTCTGATATGTTCTGGGTTTGCAACTCTTAATTGACTAACACATCTCAATTTCTTTATGTGGACTTAGAATGTAAGATACGTTTCAGGATCGGGAGCATTGTAACTGCATAGCATTCTCTATAAAGGGTAGTTAGTTGAGTTTAAAGTTCTTTGTATGTCGGCTGAGAAATAATAGTTGTGTGCTTTTTCAAGGATATCATTTTTGTATCGAAGAAGTCCGTTTGTGGGGTGAACAGAAAGCTCTTCTGCAAAGGCATTAAGCTCGACTATTACTCTAAATTGAAACACACAATTGAATTCTATGTCAGGCTTATCCTTATCTAATGTTTTAAGTCTATTAAAGCAAAGTTTTTGGAGTCGCTCTTCTGCCATGAACTCGAGCTTGGTCCATAGATTTATCATCTTTTTTATTACTTTCATTTTTAATGGTTCTCTTCCTGTTTCGAGGCGGACTATGTAGTTTGGGGTATTTCTGGGCCAACCAAACAGTTGCTTTAAAAATTTAAGTTAGACCGTTTCGATTGCCTCAAGATAATTGGGGCTCCATACTTCAAAAGCATAAAGCTATGTTGATGAGACCATGGAGTCAAATAACAATTTTTTACTTTCCCAAGAGTCATTTTTCCCTTTTTTTAGTATGTCTATGACTCTCGCAGATGCCACTGAAGACTTCTGAGTAAAATGTTCACATGCTTGTTTAAATTTTCCTGACGTTGTGAAGGGAACTCCCAAATAAGTATACCTTTTTGTATACTCCAATATCCTGTCATGCCAATACAACGGTTTGAGCTGTTTAAGCCGTTGAGAATTGTGGAAAACAAGAGTTTTAGATTTGTCTACATTTAATGTAAGAGAATTGTTACTGCAATATTCTTGCAATATTTTGATATTCTTTTGCGCTCCATGCCAATTATTACTTAAGAGAATAATATCATCAGCTAGAACGAACATTGTTAATATGAGGTAAATATAATATCTTTAATTTCTGTAATTTTGGAAGACATTGCGGTTAGAGGGCCATAATGCTCTGATGATTAGAATATTGAGTAAAACAAATAGCATGATTAGAAATAATATAACTTGACACAATCACAGAACAATACCCTAATTACCAAGAAGTAATTACAACAAGACGCATCAAAAACAAGTAATTGAATCTCTGTAGCTGTAATCAACCCACAAACAAATCATAAATTTTTCCTTTGAGTACCAGTAGAATTTAGCACCTTAAGTGCCGAACTATATGCCATCCTTAAAGCTGTAATATACTCCAAAAATGCATACACAAAGCACAAAATAGTTATTCTGACATTTATAAACCTATTAAATTATTATATCAGTTCCAGTTACAAGTCCAAGTTAATATAGTCATTACGAAATTTAAGACCATCACTTTAGAATTTTAAGATTTAATATAAACATTATAAATTTCACATAAAATATTTGTTTTTCAGAATCAATTTCAACAAGTAACTAATAAATTGTTACTTGAATAAATAATGTTAAATAAATAAAAACTACAGGATTGTTTTTCTTGTAAATACTGCTGAATCGTTTTGTTGGAAACATGTTGGAATATCCCCACATGGAAAATGGAATTGCCTATTTAAGATTTGTATATGCCTTTAATGTTACAGCAACATTTTCATCAAAATTGGCTGACCGGAAGTGCCACTTTATTTCATCGATTTAACACATTTAAAGTTTTCTCAGAAACGGCTTTAACAATTTTGATCGAGTTCATTATCATTGGTGTAAAATTAAGCTTTTTAAATATAATGTAATTCTTATTTTCATTGATGTTCTCCAACAGGGCTTTAATGCCTAATTTTCAAAATTTCTGCCTCTAAAGTAGCTTTAATTTTTTTTATTTTTTATTTGAAATAATTAACCATTTCACATTGTAATATGCTATAAAAATGGTTAAAGTTAAATATAAATTATGAAAGAATTTTATAATTAACTAAAGGAATAAATAATTATTAAAATAAGAGATTGAGAGAACAAAATAAATAAAAGGAAATAATTACTTACGAAAATATCATAAATATATTACTTAAGACGACTGAAAAACATATTAACATAGGTAGTTAATTGTTCTAAAGATTATTTTGGTGCCATCTGTAATTTTTACTTTCACTTCTCTTTGCATAGAGGTTTTAAGTGATTGTTGTGTGAAGCGTGCACTGAACCAGATTTTTATGTTTATACCCTGGCTCCTTAAATTAGAGCATTAAAAAAATACTGTTTAGTTTTATATATTAGTAGAGATGCATTTTTCTAACAGGATAATTTCCTATTTAGCCATTTAAGTGTTATTATTTTCTTTCTTTTTTATTTTTGTTTAGCCTAAAAGTGATGCCGGCCTTCCTACATGCAAAGCACAATATGATTACGATTCCAATCATCCAGATGATTTGCAATTTAAGGTAAATGATTAGAAGCAATTAAACACTTTTTTTTTCTTGTTTCATTTGTTTCTTTTTTTTTATTCACCTTTTTTTTTGTAGACCGGTGATGTAATAACTATATTAAATAAAGAAGGTGATGAGTGGTTCAGAGGTCGTCTTAAAGGGAATGAGGGAATATTTCCTGGTGAGTTCTGCATATTTTTTTGTCTATATAAAATTTTATGATTTAAATGAGTATTTACATTAATTAATTAATTTCTGAATTTTAATTTACTAATTTATTAAATTATATCTCCTAATTTAAGCTGAAACCTGACATAACACATTTTTCACATCGATTCAATGGTTATTTATGCCATTTAACAAATTGACTTAAATTATATTGAGCTAGCAATACATAGAATCTAGTATGCCACTAAATTAGATGCATGCACTAAATGTGAACACTACCAATACAACGTGTTACATCTCAAGCTAAAATATAGTAGAGAGCACGGACGGATCTACAGGGGGGGGGAGGGACTTTCGGGCTGAAGCCCCCCTCCCCCAAAATGGTAAAACAACCATGTTTTATGGGAAAAAAAATTTAAAAATACCTCTTAAAGTATTATTTTTCGTGTAATTACATTTAAAAGGATTTGAAGTATCATTTAAACATCATTTCATATTGGTAGTTAGTTTCTTTCTGTTTTTCCAAAGTAATTATCGTTATTTTTCCAAAGCTTCCGGGCTGAAGCCCCTCCCAAAAGTAATTCCTGGATCAGCTAGTGGTAGAGAGATCCAGTAACCAGTGTTAAGTATAGTGAACCTCTTAAATCTGTTAAAATCGAAAAAACTTATAGTTTTATATTTGTTTGCTAAATATGGCCACTAGCACACTCTATTTTAACATAGTCTGGGGTCTCTCAAAAGTCCTGCTAATTTTCTGAATGCGTGGGGGGAGGTTATTATGAGATTTCTACTTCTTTTTATTACTTATGTTACAATTAAATATAGAGAAGAAATATGGAAAACATTGGACAAAATAGGAAAACAATTTTTTTAATTCCTTGTAAATTTATAGTTACACAATTCAGACAATAAACAGTGTTCAAATGAAAGAAAAATAAACACTTAAAAATTAAAATCAGCAGGTAAAACCCAAATTATCGTGAGTGGAGGTCTCAACTTAACACATCAGTCAATAAACCTCCGGTCTAACTAAGAAAAACAAATTTTGTTTTAGAAACGTAATATTCACTATTGATAGTTTTGCCTTTTTGAAGATATTCGATGAAAAAAATTCCATGTGCATCCCAAAATACAGATGCCATTATCTTGCCAGCGGACTTGAGTGTTTGGTCACTTTGGGTGACTCTCCGGCTGCTATCTCTCAGCTGACAATCATTTTGATTCAGGCGTGTAGTAGTGGATCCATGTTTCATCCATTGCTATATACCGACATAGGAAATCCTTTTTATTTCGCTTGAACAGATCCAAACAGCTCTCTGAATCGTCGACACGTTGTTTCTGGTCTGGTGTGAGCAAACCCGGCAGCTACTTCAAAAGCAACTTGTAGATGCCCAAATTTGCATGTGAAATTGTGAAGGCACTTCCTTCTGATATCTTTAAGGTGTCAGCTATCTTGCGCAACTTCATTTTAAGGTCACGACCAGAGCGTTCAGCATTATCAGTGCTTGTACAACTGCGTTTAAAGTCAGCATACCAGTCAATAATAGTTGATTTCCCTGTTGCAGAGTCCCCATAATGCTCACAAGCCACTGTTTGCCATCAACAGTATTTTTCTCCATCAAAAAACAGTGTTTAATCAGCACACGGAATTCCTTTCTATCCATTGTCTTGAAAATTACAGAACTTTTGTCACTAAAACTTCTAAACTAATGGTCAGAATGCCATAAAATTTTGGCACGTACTGTTTGAAGGTTAGTACTTCCGGGAAATCACGTGGGTCTATCAACTATGTTGCCATCTATTCGTCAGACCGAGGACTTATTGAGTGATGTGTAACTATAGCTAACAACATTTTACTATGTTAGTACTATAACAGATAAAGCATTTATTATAAGTTATGTGTGTATCCTGTGTGTCTTATATTAACAATGCATGTTTGTTGTATTTGTGTTTCTTAATAAAATATTGATACTTTGTTTACAGCAAGTTACGTGACTCTTCTGCCCAACTCTGTTAAAAAACCTTTGATGACTGTCATAGCCTTGTTTTCATTTACTCCTTGCAGTTGGGATGATTTAGAACTGCAGGTCAGTTGATTTTATGTTTTATTATATAATTAACAATTAATTGTTGAAATGAAATGAAAATAGATTTTTATTATCCTGGGACTTTTGTCCCTTTAGGACAAATTATAGATACAGAGGAAATGCCTGTGTGGCCATAAAATTAAAGTAAATATTTACAGTGCTCATTAAAATAAAAATATTGGATGAAAAATAAAACAAAACACATATATACATACAGATATATATAATACAAACATGTGAAAATAAAATAACGTAATTAAACAAAACCATTTCTGGGAAAACTTAAAAAGTTCTCTTATCTACTTTTCATGATCAATCGGGTTGGGAAAGAAGTAGGTGCTTAAAAAGGAGAGATTTAAATGAGGAAACTGATTGCGCATGTCGGATATCGGAAGGGGTGGTATTCCAGATGGAGACGGCTTGAATTATAAAGGATTTGTCAAACACTGCAGTTCGGTGAGGAGGTGGATAGAGGTCAGAAGTGCGGGATCTAGTGGGACGGGACTGAATGGAATTTTTAAACTGTAGGCTGTGAAAAATATAGGAAGGTCGCTGAGTTTTGATTGCTTGGTATAGAAAGGTAGCAAGGAAGTACAGACGGCGTTGGATGGATAGAGTCACTTCAACTTGGTGTAATACCGGGTTATATCCATATCTCTTGATATTTCGATAACAAAACGTATTGCGCAATTCATCAGGCTTTTAAGCTTAGCCTCGAATTCTCCCGAGAGTGGGGGAACACAAGGCAGGAAATCAGGAGTTGTCGGGATTTATATGGAAGGATATAGCAGTGACGGTTAAACTGTTTCAGGGTAGAGATAGTACGACAGGCAATTTGGGAGATGTGTGGTTTCCAGGAGAGGGTTTGATCAAAGGTGACACCAAGATTTTTTATGGAAGTATGGAATGAGATAGGCGAGTTGTTCAGGAAAAGATTGGGGAGTGTCGGTAAGGATTTGAGGAGTGAGGGAGTTCCGATCAGGATGGCTTATGTTTTCTCGGAGTTTAGAGTGATTCTATTGTGGTTTGCCCAGGCACAAATTCCGTCTATATCTTTCTGTAATTTTTGGATGGCGTCAGATGATTCGATCGGAATTCGAAGCGTTTTAGAGTAAAGTGATCTAACTGCCTCACGGTTTAAAATTAGTTTTTATTTCCAGCAAAATGATCTACAAATAATAGCTAATGCAGTGTTGCATTCTGATCCTGGAAAAAAAAGAGAAAAAATCTTGAAATTAAAAAACAAGTCAGTTGGCTCTAATAACCATATACCATTTTAAAGTTAGGTTTATCGTGTAGGAAAACAAAACATATATTTTAAATACAATTTATAGTTTTCCTAGGCAACTTTAAACAAGTACTTAATTTATTATTTATTGTTGAGCTCTGACGACTTAACTCTCACAAAAAATTTAATTATCATCACACAACATAATTTTAACTACTAGATATATTTAAACCTGTACCACTTGAACAAGAAGTTGTTTAAGGTGATGTCCACTAGTGATATGGTGTTTTCTTACATTTTGGTCAAGGGTGTGCCACAAATTTTCAATGATATTTATATCTGGTGACTGAGGAGGAGTGTGGAGCTGTCTTGGAACATTAAATATTAACCACTCCTTTGTATTGTTTTGGATCGTTGTCCTGCTGGAAATAGTACTGATCCTGGATTCCCATTTTTTCAGCACTAACACGCAAATTACGTCGCAAAATGTTCACATAGCCTTCCGCATTTAAAATGCCTTCAATGCTCACAAGATTTCCCGTGCCATGGTAGGAAACACATCCCCAAACCATAACATGTCCTCCACCATGCTGTACAGTTGTTAAAACGTTTTGCTTCTTTAGGGCTTCATTACGATGTCGCCATATCGTCCTTCGACCATCTGAACCAAACAAATTAAATTTGCTTTCCTCAGAAAATATGACATTTTCCCAAAAGCTTAAGGGTTTCTAAGTACTCCCTAGCGAAAGCAAGGCGCTTTTTGCAATTCGTTTCACTGATGTATGGCTTCTTTCTTGAAACTCTACCAAAGAGCCCTTCCGAATTCAGGGTATATCTAATTGTTCTGCTAGTAATCTGAACTCCAGACGTTGATTGGACCATGGTAGCCAGCTCCCGAGAACTTATCAAAGAATTTTTAAGAGCTTCTTTTTTGATTTTCCTCTTCAGCCTGGGAGTTAACTTTTTTGGACGCCCTTTACGCTCACTTCGCTCATAACTTTTTATGACGTATCTCACTGTAGAAAAATTCAACCCTAAGAAATTGGCAATTTGGCGATATGTTTTTTGCTGACTCCTCAGTAAAACAATTTTTTCGCGAGTTGCGGCACACAGTTCACTTGTCTTTGGCATGATAAATGTCTATTGACTAAAGGAAACTGATTGAAAGACTAGAGAATATTGGTAATAAACGATTCGAGATAAATTAGTAAACAAACCTATGACCTATGGACACAGGAGGATTAATACCAAAGTAAACAGAGCTTGTGAGTCATTGTGTACAAATACTTTTTTCCAAGCGCCTTTATTGTTTTATTTTTTTGTTTCATTATGGAGTATTGTCATTTTTTTCCAAAAGTTTTTTCTCAGTTTTTAACAAATGTACTTTTAATTTTTTGCAGAGGAAAGCAAAGTTTTTTTATTCCTTGAACTCATTTATTCATAAAAACATGATGTGCAAATACTTTTTTCTATCACTGTAATTCACTACCCACAAAAAAGTGCAAAGCGCACCTAAAGAAGTTTTCTCTTCAAAAATGGATAGATTGGTTTGGTTGATCTCTGAACTGTTTTGTCAATATGTAAGCAGGTGGTGGGGTGACTGCTCTCAAATATTATTCAAATTTCTGTCTATCTTTTTATTTTTCGATTTCAGGAAGGAGACCAAATACAAGTGTTGGATCGTGTGAACGAGGATTGGTTGTACGGAGAATGTATGGGTAAGAAAGGACAATTTCCAGAATGCTACGTCCAAGATATCACAGCACTCGCTGAGGATGATTAGGGGTACTAATGTTGAAAGGTAAATAATTTATTATCATTTAATTTTAATCTAAGGACTTTTTTTGGCTTAGAAATAAATAATAAAGAGTTTTTTAAACCAGAAACTTTTTTTTTTTTCTATTAGACTTAAATCAGAATTGTGATATTGAAAACAATAAATGAATAAAAGTCTTCCAAATAAGTAAGTCTTGCTTTCTCATAATTTTAAATTTTCACTGAATCATTTTTTCTTCTAAATTTCTTCCAACTTGGTTCTAAATCATTCAAGCTATTTTTGATATGTCATTGTTTGAAGTTAAATAAGTTTATGCATTTTTAAGCAATAATAAAAAGGATTTTATAAAATTTATACTGGACCATTTTTGGTTGTGAGGAATTATATAAAAACTAGCAATTAACACTTCCAATTACTTAAAAAAGCTATTTTGTAATTAAACTATTATAAATGGATAATCAGTATAATGAAAACTAACGGAATTTTCAGAAATTACTCTACATTCTTCATCGTCATGCCAATTTTTTTTTTTTTTTTTCCATTTTATATTGATATATTCTTATCTTCTCTTGTTTGAGATCTGAAGTATATTTTTACCAATTATTGCTAATTCTGAAATTATCATATCATAATATCATTTCATAAAGAATACCCTTTGTATATTTATTTATAGATAGGTTTTGTTATTATACAGTGATAATTCACAAATAATTGAACGTCTAATTGTATGTTTATTACAAATAAAAATACCATGGTTTCAAAACATTTATTAAATAAAAAAACAAATTATTTTAATAGTTATTTAATCATTGATGAAAAAATGGACCAGTTTTTATTCCATGAAAAATTATAAAAATCTTAATAAAATTTTATTAAATTGTAACATTATATTGCAACATTTCGATTCTTTCAATTTGGTTATTTTACAAAAAATATTTTTAATTTATTCACCATAGCCTAAAATAATTCAGATCAGAATAAATTACTGCCAACATTGACAAACTTGAGAAAGGCCGAAACGTTTCTATATAAATGTTATTAATTTAATAAAATGTCTCAAGAATTTTATTATTTTCTATTGAATTAACTATGGTTCATTTTTTTATATCATTAAATGGTACAAATCACAAATTCTTTTCTTTTCTATTATAGTCGGTGGTACAGACCTCTTTTTATCGAATTATTCACATCCGCCTGAAACTTGGTAAATAGTTTCATCTCATCGTAACCTACAACTATTTTATTTACGAAAATTCTTGGAATTGGGGCGTTTTCAATCTGGAGGGGGACAAACTTTGTCTATTTAATTAGGTACTAAAAACTCGTAAATACCCATTTGCTTTCTACTTGGATTGTAATATAAATTGATCACAAAATCGATAAAAAAAGTGGCCTACAAAAATATTGGGCTGTTTGTCCTATATAACCTCGTCATTTTAAAAATTTGGGAGTGTAGGTCACGCCAAACGGCTCAATATTTTTTAAGGCCACCTTTCTTCTCGACTTTTTTATCAAATTATCTTACGATCCAAGTAGAAAGCAAATGAATATTTACGAGTTTTTAGTACCTAATGAAATAGACAAAGTTTGTCCCCTTCCAGATTGAAAACGCCCCAATTCCAAGAGTTTTTGTAAATTAAATAGTTGTATGTTACGATGAGATGAAACTATTTACGAAGTTTCAGGTAGATGTTAATAATTCAATAAAATCTGTACCACGGACCTTATACTTTACTCTCATATAAGCTATATTATATGTTTTACTACAAAATTAGATAATGATTTCCATTTTTTTTTTTTTCATATTTTTCTAGATTCATCTGTTTTAATTGCCATGCCATCTACGTTACTAAAATTCTATTAAAAATCTAAATGTTTAAGATCTTGAAATTAGCTTTTGTTTATATAATGTGATAAAATAGTTAATCCTATTGTTTGTAATATATATATATATATATATATATATATATTTCTATTTTTAAGAAATAATCAGATCTAGCTAAGGTAAAGGTTCTTATTTTTAATGTGATAGTTATTTGTATTAATTTGTAGATATTTTCGACTAATTAATTAGATTATTGTTAGCGAGTGTATACATAAATTCCTGTTTTTGAGTTGTATCAGCTATTGAGCATATAGATAGCAGTATTAGATATAAGTTTTGCCAATGCTATTTATATATCAGATAAGTTGTCTTTTGCACATATCACATTGTTGATGCACACATCTAAGAAATTATATCAGTAATGTGTATTCAGGTTTTAATTTTTTTTAAAAATTAATTATAAGATTTATTCGTGAAATAACCAATCTTTAATTATCATATTATTAAGGTTCGTTTATTAATAGATGGTTACTTTGACTTATCATATGTTTCTTGATCCAAAAATGAAATGAAAAATAAGAAAGTTACATGAAAAAGTAAAATTTTTTAGGTAGTTTAATAATTTAACACAAAGCCTTCATTGTCTAAAATACCGATAAACAACTAACCAATTATCAAGACAAACAAAAAGACCACATATCGCTCACTTCGTTCAAACCGCATCAAAAATCAGTGTTTTTTAGTAATGCTAATTTTGAAAATACCTTGAAAAAGTAATATATCCTTAGTTGTAAATAATTTGTAATTGTAAATAGTTAGAGGATGGTCCAAGAGTATTATTGAAAAATAATAAAAATTTAAATAATTAAGCTTTCAGAAAACTAAAAAAAAAAAAAATACATTAATAAATTTGGTATTAATCTAAATAGGAATAGTTGTTGAGGGAAAATAAAAAATGTAAACATAATGAGGCTAATAGATTATAAGTGATATTTCCATTCGTAATCGTAATTCATACAGAATATCATTTATCACCACTCTAGGTTTTTCTCTTTACTTTACCCTTTTTCTTCCTTTTCATTTCTACCAGGTCTAAGTTGTACTATTGTTTATACGATACCTATTATTTTAACCAATAACGATTAATAATTTTCAATACTTAAAGCTATTAATAAAATAACTTGAGAAGTATTATAGATTCACCTTTTTGTATCATCGTTGATTTTTGTGGACAATCTCTGATGATTATTTCTAAAATATTAGCACTATTACCCGCCAAGACTGAACGTAATATTGACAATCTATGACACAGTTTTTTGCAGAAGAAATTAAAACAGGAGGAAAACCCTAAAACAACAGATTATGTCGTGTTTAAAATCTCTTCGAATAAAGCATTAACACACTGGGGAACAGAAAAAAGCTCAAAACTTTTTCTTGCAATGAACTAGGTCATTTTGGTGATCATGTCCATTAAACAAAATTTATTATAATAAAAATAATTGTAAATATTACAAAAAGAGTAATCATAAATCAGAAAACTGTTACTTTCTGGCAGAACACGAAAAAAAATAAAACAAAATATTATATATTGCTAAGAAACGCGGAAATTTCACTAGTAAAGAGCTCAAATTTTAAGTAGATAGAGAATCGTCATCTCACATGATAAAAAACGCTGTTTTTTGACATATTTTCAACATGACTGGAGTAAATTCAAAGTTCCTGAAAAAAAAAACCAGTGCGTTTATACTACCAGTGTAGGAACTATAGATTCGATTCGATTTTTGAAGAAGATACATATAAAAATAAGAAAAAACAAAGATTAGATTCAAGTGGTGGGGAAGAACCTGCAGGGTGGCGACTGACCTGGGAAAATGGGAAAAGTCAGGAAATTTTCAATACAGGATAAAACTTTTAAAGTCAAGGAATTTTTTTAGTTCCTAAATATTATTTTCAAATTAGAAATAAATATACTCCGAAGTTGAAAAATTTCAATGTAAGCTACAGCCTTGATTATTATGAACACTTGAGTGTTTCATTATTGTTATATTATGTCTGTTCTCCCTTTAATTTATCGGGAGATCTTTTACAACTGGCCGTAGTTTCGAGACCTCTGTCTTACTTTTTTGAAAAAGTAATATTTTTTTAATGAATAAAGAGTGTATTTTCACAATTAATTTACTAAAATAGATGTCAGGTCACAAGAAAAAGAAGGAATTAAAACTTTGTAAAAATTTCTCGGTTGTTATTTTTGCTGAAAATATACATACTCTGGAATGACAAAATATCAAAATCGCATAATTTTCACATAAATGAGGGTGAATCTCGACTCTAATCTAAATCAAACTTCTAGTGAATTAATATGCAAATGCAATTAAAGCTTATTAAATAAGGAAGTTTTTATAAAAGTGGGATATCTTTTTTTTGGGGAGGGGGGAGAAAGAGAGGGGGGGTTTAGACGGCAATTCAGAAGACTCCCTGGCAACAGGGCGCAAAATTGTGGCTATTTTATATCAGTTGTCTCATATCAGGTTGCCAGGCAACGGTGGTGCTGTGCACACACGTTAGCCCGTACGGCCACCCCGCCCACCTGTAAAGTGGGTTGTAGATGATGAAAAATAATCACGAATAATCCATAATTTAATGAAGAATACAACTTAAGCATAATTTGGCTGCTTAAAAGTTCCCATTAAATGGTTTTGAAAGGCAATTCTAACAAAAAACTTTAAAAGGCAAACTCAACTTGTATTTGAACAAAATTTTTTCAACTTTATTATGAAGTAATTTCTAATTACCTGAATCACATAATCTTGTGGTATTGCTTCCTATGAAAGAGAAAACCTGGCCATCTTAAGAAAAGACAAGATGGCCAACTTCTTTAGTTAGTCCAATGACTAACTTCTTTTCAGTTCTGTCGGGGATCTATTAACTTTTGTGACATTGAGTGAGAAGAAACAATAAGAATATATATTTGAAATGTGGGACTTAGTAAATACACTTTGAATGAATTGACTCACCTGGTTTGTTATTCTTCAATCGTGAGGCCTATAGGACAAGTAAATAAATAAATGACTTTTCACTCCTGTCTAATAAAACAATTTTTTACAACTGTAATAAGTGAATCTATTAAAGTCTTATAACTGTTGGCTTGATATTCTTGGTCTTCAATGTAGTATCTCTCTCATCTCAGGTCATATCCTCTCGCCTTCCTGTCCCAGTCCCAAGTGCCTTCTCTCCTCTCCGGCGTCCTTCTCCAGCTGTTGCTACCTGCTCCGTC